CTCACCTAGTTGTGCTTGCGGGGGTTGAGCTCTGGCTCTTTGGTCCCGCCTCTCAACCGTCAATCAACTGTGGCACCATCGCACTGCTAACTTAAAATAAATAAAATAAATATGTTTATTCAGGTAAGGTACATACATACAAGTGATGTTACATTAATGGATTGATATATAGATAGAGCTAGTACATACAATGCCTAAAGCTACTATTACGCAATGCGTTTCGGGCAGGAAAAACATTAATATCTAGAACTTAATACTAATTGAGCATAAAGAATAAAATGTGTTGAGAACAAATACAAATAAAGATAAAAAAAAGGGGGAACATGACTGAAAAAGCAGCACAAATACAATAGGTTGACAAACAGTGTTGATTAAAAAAAATAACAGACATTGGTTGACAATAGAAGGGTAAGGTAGGTTACAGGGAATTTACTAGGTATAGCTTCGTTTTTATCTTAAACTGGTTGAGAGAGGTACAGTCTTTAACATGGTTGGGAAGGTCATTCCACATTCTGGGCCCCTTGATTTGTAGAGCATTTCTAGTTTGATTAAGTCGTATCCGAGGAATATCAAAACTGTATTTATTTCTGGTGTGGTGCTCATGGGTTCTGTTACAACCTTCTATGAAGCTTTTGAGGTCAGGATGGGCATTATAGTTAAGCGTTTTATATATGTATAATACACATGAGAGAATGTGCAGTGACTTAATGTCTAACATATTCAGAGATTTGAGTAGGGGTACCGAGTGGTGTCTGGGGCCAGAGTTAGATATTGTCCTAATAGCAGCTTTGTGTTGGGTAATTAGAGGACGTAAATGATTTTGGGTAGTAGAACCCCAAGCACAAATACCATAGTTGAGATATGGATAGATAAGGGAGTAATATAGCGTCACCAGGGCAGGGCGAGGTACATAATATCTGATCTTAGAAAGAATGCCAACTTTGACCAATCAACGCCTAGGTTGGCAAATCCTCGGCGCCAATCAGAGGCGAGAAACAAGGAACCAATTGTCTCCGAGCCGCCCACGCCCGGAGCGCAGAGTATCACATAGAGAGCAGTTGTGTAGGCGGCAATGTTAGTGCCCGGGTGCAGGGGCACAGTGCCCTGAAGTACTTCACACTGACCAGTCTCCTTATTATTATTAACATCTTTATTGACAAAATTAATTACAATTTTGCCTAATCTGAGGATTTTGATAGTCTTATTAAATTGAGGTTAATGCTAGTATTCACTGTCACGCAGGACAGAGGGTCATACATAAGACAATAGGTCTAAACTGTAGGCTGAAGCAGTCTCCAGTATCAAGGTAAGAATGTTCAATTGTTGGAAGCAAACCCACAGACAACACAAACTAAAATTATAATTAAGAACTATAGACGGGAGACATCTCCCGTCACGTCACGCAGGGTGCATTCGCGCCTCCACAGATCTCCAGTATCAGCTCTTGATACTGGTAATGGCTCAAAAGGGGCCACCACTTACGGGCTATTCATGCCCGTGCCACCTTTTGGGTGGCTTAATCTTCATTAATCAATTAAGAACTATAGTATTCATGTTGACGTGGAATTACTCAAGGACCATGAACTGATTGTTTGGGTCGAGCAACACTGGACCACGGGAGACTGTCCAAAAATCAAGCAATTGCTATGTGGAAGAGAGCCGGTCGGCAGAACGGACAGCACACTGGACTTGTGATCCTGGGTTCGATCCCAGGCGCCGGCGAGAAACAATGGCCAGAGTTTCTTTCACCCTATGTCCCTTGTTATCTAGCAGTAAATAGGTACCTGGGTGTTAGTCAGCTGTCACGGGCTGCTTCCTGGGGGTGGAGGCCTGGTCGAGGACCGGGCCGCGGGGACACTAAAGCCCCGAAATCATCTCAAGATGACCTCAACAAGAGCTTCTACAATAATCCCCGTGACCTATTTTCCAAGATCGTGTTGTTGTTGAAAATTAATCTAACAAATAATTTTAAGTAGAAAATTACTACCAAAATTGACAAATAGACTGTAAGAAAGTTTGAGACAATACACAATAATTATTATATATAACAATTATATACTTTATACAGGCTATAAACACATATGTGAAGCTACACATGTGTCCAACACAACATATGTGGCCGAGGTGCTGGTGTGCCAAACCTGCCGGGTCTGACGGCTCAGTGGACAACGCTCGGGACTCGTAGTCCTACGGGGTCTGGGTTCGATCCCCCGGCGGAGACGAAAACAAATAGGGTTTCTTTCACCCTGGTGCCCCTGTTCACCAAGCACTAAAAAGGTACCTGGGGTCAGCTTCACGAAGCAGTTACGCAAGCACTTACGAATTTAGTGACTTGGTTATAATATAATGATATAATATTCTGCAATTATTTTTATTAAATGACTTCAGTTAGTGGCCCTCACAGAGACATAAATATGGCCCATATGGCCCTTAGTAGGAGAGCTCGGGGAGACATGATCACTACCTACAAAATCCTCAAAGGAATTGACATGATATATAAAGATAAACTATTCAACACTGGTGGGACACGAACAAGGGGACACAGGTGGAGACTGAGTACCCACATGAGCCACAGGGACGTTAGAAGGAACGTTATCAGTGTGGGAGTAGTTAACAGGTGGAATGCATTAGACAGTGATGTGGTGGAGGCTGACTCCATACACAGTTTATAATGTAGATATGATAGAGCCCAATAGGCTCAGGAACCTGTACACCAGTTGATTGACTGTTGAGAGGCGGGACCAAAGAGCCAGAGCTCAACCCCCGCAAGCACAACTAGGTAAGTACAACTAGGTGAGTACAACTAGATGAGTACAACCAGGTGAGTACAACTAGGTGAGTACAACTAGGTGAGCACAACTAGGTTACCTTACCTTGAGGTTACCTTGAGGTGCTTCCGGGGCTTAGCGTCCCCGCGGCCCGGTCGTCGACCAGGCCTCCTGGTTGCCGGACTGATCAACCAGGCTGTTGGACGCGGCTGCTCGCAGCCTGACGTATGAGTCACAGCCTGGTTGATCAGGTATCCTTTGGAGGTGCTTATCCAGTTCTCTCTTGAACACTGTGAGGGGTCGGCCAGTTATGCCCCTTATGTGTAGTGGAAGCGTGTTGAACAGTCTCGGGCCTCTGATGTTGATAGAGTTCTCTCTCAGAGTACCAGTTGCACCTCTGCTTTTCAACGGGGGTATTCTGCACATCCTGCCATGTCTTCTGGTCTCATGTGATGTTATTTCTGTGTGCAGGTTTGGGACCAGCCCCTCTAATATTTTCCACGTGTAAATTATTATGTATCTCTCCCGCCTGCGCTCAAGGGAGTACAGTTTTAGGCTCTTTAGTCGGTCCCAATAGTTTAGATGTTTTACTGAGTGGATTCTAGCAGTAAAGGATCTCTGCACGCTCTCCAGGTCAGCAATTTCTCCAGCTTTGAAAGGTGCTGTCATTGTGCAGCAGTACTCTACTCTAGAGAGCACAAGCGTACTGAAAAGTATCATCATCGGTATAGCATCTCTAGTGTGAAAAGTTCTTGTTATCCAACCTGTCATTTTTCTTGCAGTTGTGACGGCTACTTTATTGTATTCTTTAAAGGTAAGGTCTTCCGACATGAGTACACCCAGATCCTTTACATTGCCATTTCGTTCTATGTTATGATTTGCCTGAGTTTTGTACGTGGTTTCCGTTTTTATATTTTCATTTTTTCCATAGCGCATGAGCTGGAACTTATCTTCGTTAAACACCATATTATTTTCTGTAGCCCATAGAAAGACCTGATCTACATCTGATTGGAGGTTCGCCGTGTCCTCTATGTTGCCTACTCTCATGAAGATCCAAGTGTCATCTGCAAAGGATGATACAATGCTATAGGTTGTGTTCTTGTCTATGTCCGATATGAGGATGAGAAAAAGTACTGAAGCAAGCACAGTACCCTGGGGGACTGAGCTCTTCACGGTTGATGGGCTGGATTTTATTTTGTTGACTATTACACATTGGGTTGTGTTAGTCAGGAAATTGTAGATCCATCTGCCTATTTTTCTGGTAATTCCTTTTGAACGCATTTTATGTGCAATAACACCATGGTCACATTTATCAAAAGCTTTTGCGAAATCTGTGTAAATTACATCAGCGTTTTGTTTGTCTTCCATAGCATCTAATGCCATATCATAGTGGTCCAGCAACTGCGACAGGCAAGAGCGCCCTGTTCTGAAACCATGTTGTCCGGGGTTATGGAGATGCTGGGATTCCATGTATTTTGTGATTTTACTTCTTAGCACTCTCTCAAAAATTTTTATGATGTGCGATGTTAGCGCTATCGGTCTGTAATTTTTTGCCTCTGCCTTATTTCCTCCTTTATGAAGTGGTGCTATCTCTGCTGTTTTTAGTATATCAGGAATAACGCCAGTATCTAGGCTTTGTCTCCACAGAATGTGGAGGGCCTGCGATAGTGGTTTTTTACAGTTCTTTATGAATATGGAGTTCCAAGAATCCGGGCCTGGTGCAGAGTGCATAGGCATACTGTTTATGGCTTCTTCAAAATCCAGTGGGGATAGGGTGACGTCTGATATATGATTTGATGTTGGTATCATATCCATGAAAAATTCATTTGGGTTATCAATCTTTAGAGTGTTTAATGGCTCGCTGAAAACAGAGTCGTACTGCTTCCTCAGTAGCTCGCTCATTTCTTTGTTGTCATCGGTGAAAGTTCCATCTCGTGTGGGGGGGGTGTGTGGGGGGGTCACCCCATTTCTTTGTTGTCATCGGTGAAAGTTCCATCTCGTGTGGGGGGCGTGTGGGGGGGTCACCCCACCACAATACTGAGTTAACCACCAATTCAACCACCTTGTATCACCCCGCATCACACCACCACAGCCACACAAGATGCACAACACATAAGATACATACACAACACACAAGATACATATAAACATTTACACTCAGGGTCCCTTGTAACCTTATTATTATTATACAAAAAGTGCGCCAAGGAGGCGTGTAGTCAGCTGTTGCCTGGTGTAAACAGTGAGCGATCAACAGGTGTGGTGACCGAACCATTGAGGCGCCTGGTGGGCCTCACCCTTCCTGCCTCTGTGAGCAGTGTGGGGCCCTCACTACCCCGCCACCACTCTTAGAGGACCACCACGCCTCGAGGACCACCACGCCTCGAGGACCACCACGCCTCGAGGACCACCACTCTTAGAGGACCACCACGCCTCGAGGACCACCACGCCTCGAGGACCACCACGCCTCGAGGACCACCACGCCTCGAGGACCACCACTCTTAGAGGACCACCACGCCTCGAGGACCACCACGCCGGTCTGGCCCCGTCCTGTAGCTGGTCCTTGTGGACCACGTCGTCCAGACTCGCTCTCCTGGTGAGTACAACCTGCCTCCTACAGGGCCTGCCTCCTATAGGGCCTGCCTCCTACAGGGCCTGCCTCCTACAGGGCCTGCCTCCTATAGGGCCTGCCTCCTACAGGGCCTGCCTCCTATAGGGCCTGCCTCCTATAGGGCCTGCCTCCTACAGGGCCTGCCTCCTATAGGACCTGCCTCCTATAGGGCCTGCCTCCTATAGGGCCTGCCTCCTATAGCACCTGCCTCCTATAGGGCCTGCCTCCTATAGGACCTCTCTCCTATAGGGCCTGCCTCCTATAGGACCTCTCTCCTATAGGGCCTGCCTCCTATATACGACCTGCCTCCTGTAGGCCGTCTGTAGTTACCTTTGTTCTTGTGTATTCACCTAGTTGTATTCAGCTAGTTGTGCTTGTAGGGGGTTGAGCTCTGGCTCTTTGGTCCCGCCTCGACTGTTAATCAACTTTTTTTTTCCATACACACATCGCCAGGAAGCGGCCCGTAAGAGCTGTCTATCTCCCAGGTACCTATTTACTGCTGAGTGAACAGGGGCAACAGGGTGAAAGAAACTCTGCCTAATCTCCGCCATCGCCGGGGATCGATCCCCGGTCCACAGGACTTACGAACGAAGCGCTGTCCACTCGGCCGTCAGACCCATGTATTTCGTGAGGTGATGTGGCTATCTTGAGGTTATCTTCAAGATAACAACTACAGGATGGCGTGAAACCTGAGTTTAGGGCCACTTCCTGTCCACGACGAAGATAGGAAGCCGACGGCTTGTCGAACGTCCCACCTTTGTCTTGATCTTGTCCAGCTTCTTGAGGTTATCTTGAGGATGGTTATCTTGAGCTGTACTGTAAATGTTAAGTTTTGGCATATAAGACCTCGGCGGGGAATCTAACCCGGACCCATAGGACCAGGACCCCCGAGCGGTGTGGAGGTTTTATATTGGGGATGGGGGGGGGGAGCAGGGAGGGACTTGTCAGGGGGAAAGCGCCGAGCGCTTACGACTATATCGCACTGGGAAGAGGTCAGGATAAGGATTAGGGATGGGACGGGGGGGGGGGGGGAGGAATGGTGCCCAACCACTTGGACGGTCGGGGGATTGAACGCCGACCTGCATGAAGCGAGACCGTCCAAGGGGCGAGGGGCAGTAAAGAGGGAAGGAGAGGCATAGGTGAGTGTGTGAGAGGTTCTTCACATGAGTTTCATCATATGTGGATGTCTATAGATTACTGTGTAGCATTCGTATATACACCGAGGCTTCCACACATGTTGTTCTGTTTAAGGCTCTTTATTTTATTATTTATTGATTTATTTATACATATAAATTGTCTGTATTCCCAGTATTGCACCTGGGGATTATGTATGTTTTGTTTTAGATTAATCTACTGAGAACGAAGTGTCCAAGTAGCACGGGCTATGGCGAGCCCGTGAGGGATTATGTAGCGTGGGGCGGGGTTTTCATCTCGTGTGTTGCTGGGTAGTGGTGTAAGCCACTCTGGGGGGGGGGGGTTATGACCCGTGGGGAGGGAGGAGGGGGCGGGGGAGGAATGCTGTCTCAACCCCGTGTGAGAGGGACGGGTAGAAAGCTATCCCAGTCCGTTACGGGAGGGTCATGGTGGGGGGGAGGGGGCAGTGAGGAGTGGGGGTATAGGGGGTGTGAGGTCATACTAAAGGTTATCTGGGCCGTCACCCGGGGTTGGGGGGGGGGGAAGGTTTGGACGAGCGTCACCCGGGGTTGGGGGGGGGGGGGAAGGTTTGGACGAGCGTCACCTGGGGTTGGGGGGGGGGAAGGTTTGGACGAGCGTCACCCGGGGTTGGGGGGGGGGAAGGTTTGGACGGGCGTCACATGGGGTTGGGGGGGGGAAGGTTTGGACGAGCGTCACCCGGGGGGGGGGGGGGGGGAAGGTTTGGACGGGCGTCACCCGGGGTTGGGGGGGGGGAAGGTTTGGACGGGCGTCACATGGGGTTGGGGGGGGGGAAGGTTTGGACGGGCGTCACCCGGGGTTGGGGGGGGGGAAGGTTTGGACGAGCGTCACCCGGGGTTGGGGGGGGGGGGGGGGGGGAAGGTTTGGACGGGCGTCACCCGGGGTTGGGGGGGGGGAAGGTTTGGACGAGCGTCACCCGGGGTTGGGGGGGGGGGGAGGTTTGGACGGGCGTCACCTGGGGTTGGGGGGGGGGGGGGGAAGGTTTGGACGGGCGTCACCCGGGGTTGGGGGGGGGGGAGGTTTGGACGGGCGTCACCTGGGGTTGGGGGGGGGGGGGGAAGGTTTGGACGAGCGTCACCCGGGGTTGGGGGGGGGGGGGGAAGGTTTGGACGGGCGTCACCCGGGGTTGGGGGGGGGAAGGTTTGGACGGGCGTCACCCGGGGTTGGGGGGGGGGGAAGGTTTGGACGGGCGTCACCTGGGGTTGGGGGGGGGGAAGGTTTGGACGGGCGTCACCGGGGTTGGGGGGGGGGAAGGTTTGGACGGGCGTCACCTGGGGTTGGGGGGGGGGAAGGTTTGGACGGGCGTCACCCGGGGTTGGGGGGGGGGAAGGTTTGGACGGGCGTCACCGGGGTTGGGGGGGGGGAAGGTTTGGACGGGCGTCACCTGGGGTTGGGGGGGGGGAAGGTTTGGACGGGCGTCACCCGGGGTTGGGGGGGGGGAAGGTTTGGACGGGCGTCACCTGGGGTTGGGGGGGGGGGAGGTTTGGACGGGCGTCACCCGGGGTTGGGGGGGGGAAGGTTTGGACGGGCGTCACTCGGGGTTGGGGGGGGGAAGGTTTGGACGGGCGTCACCTGGGGTTGGGGGGGGGAAGGTTTGGACGGGCGTCACCTGGGGTTGGGGGGGGGAAGGTTTGGACGGGCGTCACCTGGGGTTGGGGGGGGGGGAAGGTTTGGACGGGCGTCACCTGGGGTTGGGGGGGGGGAAGGTTTGGACGGGCGTCACCGGGGTTGGGGGGGGGGAAGGTTTGGACGGGCGTCACCCGGGGTTGGGGGGGGGGAAGGTTTGGACGGGCGTCACCTGGGGTTGGGGGGGGGAAGGTTTGGACGGGCGTCACCTGGGGTTGGGGGGGGGAAGGTTTGGACGGGCGTCACCTGGGGTTGGGGGGGGGGAAGGTTTGGACGGGCGTCACCTGGGGTTGGGGGGGGGGAAGGTTTGGACGGGCGTCACCTGGGGTTGGGGGGGGGAAGGTTTGGACGGGCGTCACCTGGGGTTGGGGGGGGGAAGGTTTGGACGGGCGTCACCTGGGGTTGGGGGGGGGAAGGTTTGGACGGGCGTCACCCGGGGTTGGGGGGGGGGAAGGTTTGGACGGGCGTCACCGGGGTTGGGGGGGGGGGGGGAAGGTTTGGACGGGCGTCACCTGGGGTTGGGGGGGGGGAAGGTTTGGACGGGCGTCACCCGGGGTTGGGGGGGGGGGGGGAAGGTTTGGACGGGCGTCACCTGGGGTTGGGGGGGGGGAAGGTTTGGACGGGCGTCACCCGGGGTTGGGGGGGGGGAAGGTTTGGACGGGCGTCACCGGGGTTGGGGGGGGGGAAGGTTTGGACGGGCGTCACCCGGGGTTGGGGGGGGGGAAGGTTTGGACGGGCGTCACTCGGGGTTGGGGGGGGGAAGGTTTGGACGGGCGTCACCTGGGGTTGGGGGGGGGGGAAGGTTTGGACGGGCGTCACTGGGGTTGGGGGGGGGGAAGGTTTGGACGGGCGTCACCTGGGGTTGGGGGGGGGGAAGGTTTGGACGGGCGTCACCTGGGGTTGGGGGGGGGGAAGGTTTGGACGGGCGTCACCTGGGGTTGGGGGGGGGGGAAGGTTTGGACGGGCGTCACCCGGGGTTGGGGGGGGGGAAGGTTTGGACGGGCGTCACCCGGGGTTGGGGGGGGGGAAGGTTTGGACGGGCGTCACCTGGGGTTGGGGGGGGGGGGGAAGGTTTGGACGGGCGTCACCTGGGGTTGGGGGGGGGGGAAGGTTTGGACGGGCGTCACCTGGGGTTGGGGGGGGGGAAGGTTTGGACGGGCGTCACCTGGGGTTGGGGGGGGGGAAGGTTTGGACGGGCGTCACCTGGGGTTGGGGGGGGGGAAGGTTTGGACGGGCGTCACCTGGGGTTGGGGGGGGGGGAAGGTTTGGACGGGGTTGGGGGGGGGGAAGGTTTGGACGGGCGTCACCTGGGGGGGGGGGGGGAAGGTTTGGACGGGCGTCACCTGGGGTTGGGGGGGGGGGAAGGTTTGGACGGGCGTCACCTGGGGTTGGGGGGGGGGGAAGGTTTGGACGGGCGTCACCTGGGGTTGGGGGGGGGGGGAAGGTTTGGACGAGCGTCACCTGGGGTTGGGGGGGGGGAAGGTTTGGACGGGCGTCACCTGGGGGGGGGGGGGGGGGGAAGGTTTGGACGGGCGTCACCTGGGGTTGGGGGGGGGGAAGGTTTGGACGAGCGTCACCCGGGGTTGGGGGGGGAAGGTTTGGACGGGCGTCACCTGGGGTTGGGGGGGGGGGAAGGTTTGGACGGGCGTCACCTGGGGTTGGGGGGGGGGGAAGGTTTGGACGGGCGTCACCTGGGGTTGGGGGGGGGGAAGGTTTGGACGAGCGTCACCCGGGGTTGGGGGGGGGGAAGGTTTGGACGGGCGTCACCTGGGGTTGGGGGGGGGGGAAGGTTTGGACGGGCGTCACCTGGGGTTGGGGGGGGGGAAGGTTTGGACGGGCGTCACCTGGGGTTGGGGGGGGGGGAAGGTTTGGACGGGCGTCACCTGGGGTTGGGGGGGGGGAAGGTTTGGACGGGCGTCACTCGGGGTTGGGGGGGGAAGGTTTGGACGGGTGTCACCTGGGGTTGGGGGGGGGGGAAGGTTTGGACGGGCGTCACCTGGGGTTGGGGGGGGGGAAGGTTTGGACGGGCGTCACCTGGGGTGGACGGGTGTCACTGGGGTTGGGGGGGGGGGAAGGTTTGGACGGGCGTCACCTGGGGTTGGGGGGGGGGAAGGTTTGGACGAGCGTCACCCGGGGTTGGGGGGGGAAGGTTTGGACGAGCGTCACCCGGGGTCACCGGGGGGGGG